GAGAGCCTCATAGACCAATTCAGGAATGAAGTTATCAACGACCTGAAGCTAGAAGTATGCAGAATAGTTAGAGAAATGCTAAGTACCACCCAAGAAAAAACAGGCGGTGGAATGGAAGAACAGAAAAAAAGGGGAGAATTGTTTGATGGAGAAAACAGAGAAACCATAGAATACGTGAAGCAGGTTCAAAGGGACTACCAAGATACCAAGAAGTCTATAGAAGACTGGCATAACAGCTTGAAAGAAACTAAGGACAGACTATCTGAACTGGAGGGCAGACTTGTAATATGGGAGAATGAAATGAAAAACTTCTTAAAAATAACAAAGAAACAAACAGCAATAATACAAAGACAAGAAGATGATAAGAGGATCCATAACTTAAGGATTAAGAACATAAAAGAAGAAGTAGGGACACAAACAAGTGAACTACAAAAGCTACTCACAGAAATAATCCAGGAGAATTTTCCTAATTTAGCAAAAGGTAAAGATACTCAGATGTATGAGGCATACAGGACCCCAGCTACCTACAACCCAAACAGACCAACACCCAGGCATATAATAATAAAAATTCCAGAAATTCAATACAAGAACAGAATATTAAAAGCTGTCAGAGACAAGAAACAGACCACTTACAAGGGAACACCCATCAGAATTACAGCAGATTTCTCGGCACAAACCATCAAATCACGAAGAGCATGGGGGGAAATAATTCAAGCTTTGAAAGATAATAATCTCCAGCCAAGATTGAGATATCCTGCACAACTGTCCCTGGAAATTGATGGAAAAACAAGGTGCTTCCAGGATAAAGAGGAACTGGGGGAATTTGCAACCACCAATTCAACTCTACAGAGAGTATTGCAGGATATTCTAAAAAAAGAAAAATACAAAGAATCCAGAAATAATGGCAGGGAGGCCACAACGAATGGAGCAGAGAACAAAATGAAGAAGACAAACTGACAGCTACTGACAGAAAAAGAGCTCAACAGAAATGAGGCAGAGAAGATTGGATGATAGGAATAGCTATTTTGGAGAAAATGACATCTTAATAGGTAATACTGATTTAGTATCATCTTGTTTTGAAGTCTCATCTAGCTTTTGTCCTTCTGTCTCCAATGGTCTAAATAGGTTGTATCTTACTGGATTTTATTATGTACGATAGTATAAGCAAAAACCTTGTAAAGACAAGGAGATTATACAGAAACCATTATTCATTTTCTGTTAGTCAATTCTAAATACTCTGTAATGCTGTCATTCTCTTGAATGGTTTTACATCGTTTTGATATACTTAATGCTACAGTATACGAAGTTGTACTCAAGGATTTCAAAAAAAGACAATACAGTAACTACTTTTAGGTTAGAATTATCTGGTGGTGAAACACTATTCTGCTTAAATGGTTATGTTTTGATCTGCGCTGTTTCGTTGTTATGCCCTCTTTTATCTCAATCTCCACTCCATTATTTACTTTTTTATCTTTATCCTTTTAATTAAAGGAAAAAATAGCAGGATATATTATAGTAACCCACTTTGACTTTTCATTACTTTGATTTAAAGCCCTGTATTACTCTCACCATCTGGTTTTTAACTGATGTTCCCCTATTCTGTTTTGCTGGATAGTATCAGGTTCGAAAGTTTAGGCATCAGCTGTGAAGATAATGAGATTCATTATGACGCCCATTCTTGTTGACTTTTATCTACTTTTGAAGACCTACAATGTCTCCAATGTTTTGGTTTTGTTGGTTTTATTCTTTACTGTTTTGTTCAATTGTATTATAACTAACGATATAGGCAATTCTATTAGAGATAGCGGGAGGCATTATAGTAACCATTGTTGATCACCTTGTATTATGTTTTTACGTTATCTATTATGTCCACCCTTTTGACTTGACCGATTCTGTTCTGTTATGTCACATTTGGTTTTACTCTCTTCCAAAAAAGTAATAAGAACCGTGGGAGCAATGAAACCCAAAATGTGTAATAGTCATGGTACAAAAGAGAGGAAAAGAAAGTGCTCCAAACTATATAACTGCATGTATATTTAAGTGTATAAGATAGAAAATGATATCACAGAGTTTTATTGGATCAATGAACAGAACTGTTTGCAGTATCGTTGATGGAATGTCCACTTTACAAGCTTTAATTTTGTGACTTGAACAATTATTTCTAAGATGACAATATGTAATCCATTAACTAGTGATTTCCTACTGTTTGTTTTTTTTCTGTAAATCTGTATAACTTGTACCCTTTCCCTGCTTTTTTTTTCCTTTTCTCCTTAAATAAAATTAAAAAAAAAAAAAAAAAAAAAAAGAAATTAACTGATAACAAATGGAGAGGCTGTGAGAAAAAGGAACACTGCTCCACTGTTGGTGGGAGTGTAGACTGGTGCAGCCACTATGGAAATCAGTATGGAGATTTCTTGGAAGACTAGCATTGGAAGTCCCCTTCAGTCCAGCTATTCCCCTCCTGGGTATTTTCCGAGAAAAACTGAAAAAGTCATATCACAGTGATATATGTGCACTCATGTTCATAGCAGCACAATTTGTAACAGCTAGATCTTGGAAACAACCAAAATGCCCATCAGAGTAGATGAAAAAGATGTGGTATTTTTAATGCAATGGAATATTACTCAGATATAAAAAAAGGATGATCTTGAGACATTCATAGGTAAATGGAGACAACTGAGACTATATTCATAAGTGAAATAAATAAGAATCATGTTTATAAATATACATTGTGTCTCCAGTATAAAAAATAATAAGAACCATAGGAGTAATAAAACCCAAAAGCTGTAATTGGTCTTGTAAAAAAGAGAGGAAAAGAAAGTGCTCTAATGGATGTAACTGCATGTATGTTTAAGTGTGTAGGATTGATAACCATATTACTAAGGTTTTGTTGGATCATTGAAAAGAGCTGTTTGCAGTCTCACTGAATGTGTACTTTGTATGCTTTAATTTTGTGACTTGAACAACTATTTCTAAGAGGACAATATGTAATTTATCATATTTTTTGAGATTCTGTACTATTTCTACCCTTTTTCTGTTTTGCTTTTTTTTCTCATTACATAATTTTTTGAAAAGCTTGACTACTGTGAAGAGAAAAATGAAAGTCACAAACGGAATCTTAGGAGATAAAAATAGTGTCTAAAAGAAATATTCTTTGTATCAGTATGTTAGTCTGATTTTTGGCAATGTGATAAAACACCTGAGAAAGAGAATTTAAAAGAGGAAAACTTTATTTTGCCTCATGGGGTCCAAGATTTTCATTTTGTAATCTGTTGCCACTATTGCTTCTGGGCCTGGGGCAAGGTAGAACTGCATATCAGGAAGCATGTTTTAGAGCAAAGCAGCTTACTGCATGGAGGATGAGGTGGCAGACAGAGGGTGAGGGAGGAGAAGTAGAGAGAGAGGAGCGGAGGGAAGGAGGGGGAGAGAGAAGCGCTAAGGAACTACTACTTGAATCACTTAAATGTTACAAACAGGTATCAGCAAGAATTCACTGATATGTACCAAATTCAGTAAGTCTACAATTACATGTAAAGAAATCAACTTCTGAGCTTCCTGAATGCCATAGCTCTCAGTACCACACAGAAACAGTCTGCCCAGGAATAGCTGGATTGGGAAACAAAAAAACATAGCTGCTTTCTATTACTCTTCAGTGTGACTTTCTGGACAAATGCTGGCCAGGAATCACAACTGATAGCCTGTCTTTGGCAAGCAGATGTGGCATCAGGTTGAGAAAATAGATGAGATGTCGTAGCTTGGTGAAGACCACATTAAGTAGTTCATTGGATATAAAATTACTCAAAAGCACACATGACTGGAGTTTAAAAGAGAAACGATTCAAAATGGCACTCAATATAAGGCTTGGGATTACTTCTGTTTGGAAGACTATGGTGGATTTTAATTTGGTTATAACTTATTATCAGGAGAATTTTGAAGTATAACTTCAATTCTAGAAAGTGAAATTTATAGTGCTTGAAAGCAGGATTGGAAGAAGGAATTTCAAAAGGCATGATGAAATTAAACTTTGGGGGAAATAGATACATTCCTTATCATGATTATGATGATCTTTCAACAAGTATATACATATTCTTCACAATTTGTATAAAACTTCACATATACATATGCAGTTTATTGTTTGTTAACCATAACATATACTACAAATATCTTATACTACTTACATGATTTACATTGTATCACAGAGATGGCTATTTATGCTTTCACAAAGCTAGGCTCACTCTTTCGGAGTTAAATTGATATTATACTGAAAATTGCAAATTGTTATAGTTGGAAGTTAAAGTGTCTCCTCAAACAGCTCCTTTTGCTGAAGGACTGGTTTCCAGTTGAAGAGATTTTAGAAAGTGGTTGAACCAGGGAAATACTAACCTTATCAATAGATTAATTTCCAGCATCTAGCTGGCTAGATTCATTTGCCAATCTCCTTTCAGAATGAGCACATGCAAATCACATACAAATATAGAGTATTCACACATTTAATTATTTTCCATTTAAATATGGAGTTGCTTAATTTCTGACAAGACCCTCATGATGATAACATTTTAGAGTTAAATTTAAAATTTGGTGTTTTCCAGAATAGTATCTTATTACTGAAACATTCCTTTAAAAAGGATGGGATTCTTTTTCTTTTTAATCAATTTAATTGGTCCTTTCAGAATTTAAAGCAACGAAAAGGTAGAGACTTTTTAAAAATTAAATAGACCTAAATTTAAATCCTTGACAAACAAAGTCTGTAACAATGGGTAAGTTGTCTAAATATTCTTCACTGAAGTTTACTTTGTAAAACAAAAATGATAATAGCTTTGTAACAAAGATTATAAGAATTTAAAATTAAACTTTTTATTTTTGCTGAGGGTTTGAAATAATGATTGTAAAGCACCTACCACAGTGCCTGAATGGACACTCAATAAATAATAACGGATTGTTGGTTTGTAGACACAGAAAATTGCATTGCTTTTTAAAAATCATTTTTATTTGCTTCACAGATCTAGGGGCCAGTGGGATTGTTGGCCCAGCCCTTCTCCTCCTCCAATGAACCAAGGGGCCAGTGGGATCATCAGTTGCAACTTCTCCTTGCCCCACTGACCTAGGGGGCCAACAGGATCACTGGTCTCCCCTCCTGGCCCCACAACCTCGAAGACTGGGGAGACCATCAGTGACCCTCCCCCCACCCAAAAGACCGCAGCAGCCCACAAAAAATCAAGGATCTCTGCCACCACCTGTAGAACCTTGGTGGGCTGGTGGGAGCCTCAGTAACTCCTAACCCACACAGAGGACCTCAACAGGCTTTTGACAATGTGGTGAGTTTCTCCCTCAAATAGAGGATCTCAGTGGGTAAACAGGAGCAGCAATGAACTCCCCCTGCTCCCCTCAGCTACAGGACCTTGGCAAGTCTGGCAAGAGTGTGGATGAGTCTTTCTTCCATGCACCAGGTGGGTTGAGGAGAGTGCCAACAAGGCATTCCCCAACCCCAAGGAAATCCAAAGGGCCTACAAGACATCCGGTGACACAGCAGGGTCCCAGGTGAGGTGTACATATAGCCAGGTAGATATGACTGCCTGGAACAGCCTGAAGCTGTAGTAACAATAGGAATTAAGGGTTGACTTACATCATTACTCCACAACTAGTCGGCCTAGGAAGAATATAGGACTCACTCAACAGACCCCGAGGAGGAATTCAGGTGACTGGCCCTTCCTGTCAATATGGGACCCAGCAGTTGGACAAACATTAACCACATAGTAGGACCCTGAGATACAATGACAGTTGAGACTAGTAAGATTAAAAAGACCAAATGATTAACCCAAGAGGTGAAAATGACAAAACAATGAAGCAAAATGCAATCTCAAACATCCAGTCCATCAGGAACAATTACAGGAGACATTGAAATAGAGGACATTAGAAGTCATACACCTGAAATTTCTGAAAAGATAGCAAATAAAATAAAGAAACAAATCCATGCAGCTATAATGGAAGTCAGATTACAAATAATCTGTCATGTAAAGAAAGAAATGACAACATTAACAAAGGAGTTACTCATCATAGTTAGAAAAGACATAGATAAAAAAAAGTACAGGAGTATGAGAAAATGATGGAAACCTTGAATGAACAGTATAGAAAAGAAGTAGAATGCATGAAACAAATTAAAAAATATCCAGGAAGTAAAAAAATTCTATTGAAAGCTGGTGGACTGAATGAAGCTAAGGATAGAATTTAGGACCTTGATGACAGGATCACAGCTACCAATCATGAAAGGAAACAACTTTTAAAAATAACAAGATCACATGAAATGACAATTCAACAACTTCAAGATGATGCAACAAGAAATAATATGATTAATTGTCAATGAAGATGCAGGAGTCAATGCAAATGACATTGTTAATTATTTGCAGAAGTAATAACAGAAAATTTCCCAAATATGGGGAAAGAATCAGATATACAGATAAGTGAGGCATATCGGATGTCAAACAGTCATAACCAAAATAAATCTACACCCAGATATATAATAATTACAAAGAAATCCAACATAAGAACAGAATACTAAAATCTGTTAGAGAAAAGGCACAACTCACCTATCAAGGAAAACCTATTAGAATCACAGCAGACTTCTTAGCACAAACCTTGAAGTCATGACAAGCTTGGAGTAAAGTATTTCAAGCCTTGAAAGAAAACAATTTTCAACCCAGATTGATGTATCCTGCAAATTTTTCTTTGAAAAATAATGGAGAAATAAGATACTTCCATGACAAAGAACAACTGAAGAAATTCATGTCCAACAAAACAACCCTAGAAAGAGTACTGAAAGACTTACTAGATAGATATAAAAATGACTACAATTTACAGAACAACAACAGAAAGAAATCACCAGACAGGGCTAGCAGTTAAACAAAGGGGAAAAGCAGGAAACCATTAACAGGAAAATAGTATGACACAGTTGATCCAGTACTTATCAGTTACATCTATCAATGTAAATGGCCTTAATTCACCAACTAAAAGAAATAGGTTGACAAAGTGGATCAGGAAATAGGATCCAACAATATGCTGTATACAGGAAGCACATCTGACTCAAAGGGAAACTCATAGACTAAAAGTCAAAGGATGGAAAACAATATTCCATGCAGCAGAAACCCAGAAAAAAGTAGAGGTATCTATTCTGTTTGCATGCAATGTGAACTTCAAGCCAAAAATGATCAAAAGAGATTAAGAAGGTCACCACATACTTGTTAGTGGAAGAACTAACAATCATAAATATATATGCACAAAATACAGGTGCACTGAACTATATAAAACAAATACTAATGGACATGAAAAATACACAAGAACACAATCATAATAGGGGAACTTAATGCCTCATTGTCTCAAAGAGATAGATCAACTAGACAAAAGGTCAGCAAAAAAAAAAAAAGAAAAAGAAAAAAGAAAAAAAGAAAAACAGAATTAAATCAAACCTGTGAACAAATGGACTTAGTAGACATTGTCAGAATGGTTCATTCAACCACAGCAGAATACACATTCTTCTCAGCTGCACATTCTCTAAAATAGATCATATATTACCCCATAGAACATTCTTAAGTACATGCAAAGGGATTGAAATTATCCCATGCATGTTATCTGACCATAGGCAATGAAATTGGAAATCAATGGCAAAAGAATCTGTAAAACCTACACAAACACATAGAAACTAAATAACAATATCCTGAATAACCAATGGATGACAGGTGAAATTAAAGAAGAAATTAAACAATACCTACAATTCTCTGAAAATGCAGATACAACATACTGAATCCTGTGGTAAAAAATAAAAGCAGTCCTAAGAGGGAAATATATAACAATGAATTGTCACATCAGGAAAACAGAATGAGTCCAAAGAAACAACCTAATGCTACACCTCAAGCTTCTAGAAAAAGAAGAACAAGTCAACCCCAAAGCTCATAGAAGAGAGGAAATTATAAAGATCAGAGCAGAAATTAATGCAATTGAGACTAAGAAAACAATACAAAAACTAATGAATCAAAGGGCTGGTTTGTTGAGAGATTAAACAAAATTGATAAACCTCTAGCCAACCTTATCAAGAAAAAGAAAGAAAAAGCTCAAATTCATGCAATAAGGACTGAAAAGGGGGAAGTTACTACAGGTCCCGTGGAAATTCAGAAGATCATGAATACCTACTTTGAAAAATCTTCACTCGTATAGGTTAGAAAACACAGAGGAAGTGGACAGATTGCTAGAAATGTAGGAATTACTAAAGCTGAATCAAGAAGATATAGCAATTTTGATAACCCATTGTCAGTTACTGAAATGTGATTAAAAATTTACCAATAAAGAAAAGCCAAGGACCTGATGGATTCATGGCTGAATTCTATATGAAATTTAGAGAAGATTTAATGCAAATATGCCTCAAACTTTACAATAAAATTGAAAGGGAAGCAATTCTTCCTAACTCATTCTTGGAGGTAAGTATAACTCTGATACCTAAACCAGAGAAAGACTCAACTAAAATGGAGAGCTATAGGCTAATCTTCCTAATGAATATCAATGCAAAAATTCTCAATAAAATGCTAGCAAATATAATGCATCAAATCATCAAGAAGACTATACATCATGACCAGGTGGGATTTATCTCAAGAATATAGGGATAGTTTAACATATACAAATCAATAAATGTAATATACCATATCAACAGAGCCAAAGACAAAAATCACATGATCATCTCAACAGATGAATAAAAAGCTTTTGATAAAGTTTAACACTTGTTCATGATAAAAACCCTACAGAAACTTGGAATAGATGGCATCTACCTTAATTTTATAAAGCCATCTATAACAAACCAACAGCTAACATTATGCTAAATGGACAAAAACTGAAAGCTTGCACTCTAAAATCAGGAACAAGACAAAGATGACAAAGATGACCACTACCACCACTCCTATTCAATATAGTTCTGGAACCATTAGCCAGAGAAATTAGATTAGAGAGAGAGATATAAAAACTAAGAATAGGAAAGGAAGTTACATTTTCACTATTTGCAGATGACATGATACTCTATACAGAAGAAGCTCTTTCTTTATCTATTGGGATCTTCTGTGTAGAGCATCATGTCATCTACAAATAGTGAAAATGTAACTTCTTCCCAAAAACTCTATCAAAAGACCACTAGAGTTAATAAGCAAATTCAGCAGTGTAGCTGAATACAACATTCAAAAATCAATAGCATTCCTTTAGACAAATAACAAATTTATTGAGGGAGAAATTAAAGAAATGACACCATTCACAATAGCATCCAAAACAATGAAATTCTTAGGAATCAAACTAACAAAGGATATAAAAAGTCTATACATTTAAAACTATAGTATTCTTAAAAAGGAGATTGAAGAGGATGTCAGAAAATGGGAAGATATCCCTTGCTCTTGGTTAGGATAAATGAATAATGTGAAAATAGTCTTACTCCCAAAACTGTTATACAGATTTAATGCGATTCTGGTCAAAATATCAGTAATATATCTTACAGATCTAGAGAAAACATTCCTAAGATTCATTTGGAAACAGATGAGACCTAGAATAGCAAAGGCAATCCTGGCCAACAAATGCAAGGCAGGAGACATCACAATCCCTGACTTGAAATTATACTACAAAGCTACTGTGATAAAATCAGCATGGTACTGGAAAATAAATAGGCCTGAGGATTAATGGAACAGGTTAGAAGATGCAGACACAACTACAAAGATGTTTAGCCACCTTATCTTTGACAAAGGAGCTAAATATGTTTACTGGAAGAAAGATAGTCTCTTTAATAAATGGTGTTGGAAAAATTGGCTTTCCACATGCTGAAGACTGAAACTAGACCCTCATTTATCCCCATGCAATAAACTAAAGTCAAAATGAATCAAAGATCTAAATATTAAAGCAGAGACACTAAATCTACTGGAAGACAAAGTAGGTAGAAATCATGAAGACATAGGGGTAGGCAAAGATTTCATGAACAAAATGCAAACTGCACAGGAAATATTTCAAAGAATCAACAGCTGGGATCTCTTCATATTAAAAAGTTTTTATACTTCAAAAGAAATCAGTGACAGAGTGAAAAGAGATCCCATAGAATGGGAACGAATTTTCAGCCAGCTATCACTCAAAGGATTTATATCTAGAACGTATAAAGAATTGAAAAACATCAGCCCCCCCCCCCAAATTCAACGACCCAATGCAAAAATGGGGATCTGAAAGGAACGTGCAGTTCTCAGATGAAGAAACACACATGGCAACTATGTGCTCAACATCACTGGGCATTTGAGAATGCAGAGCAAAACAACATTGAGATTCCATCTCACTCCAGAATGAATGACTGCCATCAAGAAATCAAGAGATACCAAATGGTGGTGGTGCTGTGGGGAAAAAGGAACACTTCTCCATTGCCAGTAGGAGTGTAGACTGGAGCCCCCACTGTGGAAATCATGGGGAGATTCCTCAAAAAACTAGGATAGGAAGTCTCATTTAATCCAGCCATTCCCCTTCTATTTTATCAGAAAAATATATATATATATACCCTTATTTATAGTAGCACAATTTGTAATGGCTAAATCTTGGAAACAACCAAAATGCCCATCAATCACAGAATGGATAAAAAAGTGATATTTTTATACAATGGGATATTACTCAGCTATAAAAGGATAATCTTGAGGCTTTTATAGATAAATGCAGGCAACTTGAGAGCATGGTCACAAGCAGAGCATAGTCACAAATAAATCAAACTCACATTTACAAATATCATATTGTCTCCCTAGTGTAAAAATAATAAAAAATAATAATCTGAAAGGGTAGTAAGTTCCAAAATATCCAATAGCTATTGTAATATTGAAAGAAAAAAAAGTGCTCAAAAGGAGAGAATAACTAGGATAGGGGAAAGGAAAAAAGAAAGGAAAAGATTTTATGTATGTTGGTGAACATATATAAATTTATGTATGTGTATGTATGCTAGATAGATAATACACTACTAATCCCTTATTGGTTCATCAAAAAGAATAGCTGTGCTGTCATTGTTTGACTGATCAGTTTTGTGCCTAGATATTATAACCTGAACAATTACTTCTAAGATAACAATATGCCATATATTAACTTTAATTCCCTACTTTTTTGAAATTCTGTATCATTTCTATTTTTTTCTGCTTTGCTTTTTAAAATAAAAACAAACCAAAAAAAGTTTTTAAAAACCCTAAAAATAAAAATCACTTTTAATGATAAAATTAGGACCAGGAATTTTGATTCCTCTTTCTCCTTCCACCCCCTGCACTCATTTTTACATTCATATCTGTTATAATTTCCCCAATTCTTTGTTGCTTTACAAATAAAGCATTCATTTAGATTCCTTTCAAGGTGAATTTGTTGCAGTGTCCCTCCTCCCTGCAGGCCTCATTTTCCTTTGTTTCTAAACCAAGACAAAGATGTTGGCTATGGGAAATATTTATTGGGTGCCATTTAGACAAATACAAGGATCTGATTGAATACGCTACTGTTAGTGGAAACTAAACACAAGTTGCCATGGATACTGGTTGCTTGGCCTCTGCTCCAACACATTAGAGCCTTTTTAGTTCAACAATGTGCAAACCACAGATGTTGCCATGCATTGTATTAATAATCAGCCTGGATCTCTTAGCAGAAGAGTAGCTTGGGTTTGTTTAGCAGGGAGGAGATCCAGGTTCTTATTCCAAAAACAAAATGCCCTGTACCTTATGTGCTGCCTTCAGGTATAGGCAGTAACCTTTACAGATGCGATCTTCACTTTTCTCTCTGCTTCATTTGATCTAGATATTCTCCTTTGTTTTTGCATATTTTATTTGGAGTAAGAATCTTTACTACATATTTTGTCAAATGCCACAGGATAATTGCTAGGGGAGCTGCACACAGCTTTGGGGTATGGGACTTAAAGCAAAGTATCCAAAAAAAAAAAAAATGATGAAATACGATGCAAAAAAATCCAGGTTCCATTCTAGGGCTGGAGTGAATACACAACAGAGAGATCACAGGTTGATGCAAAAAGTCCAGGCTTTGCCACTCAGGAGTTCTCTGTCCTTGGGCAAATTAAGCAGCACAAATCCTTGTTTCTTTATGCAGCTGCTTCCTCCACTTGGAAGGATTCTCATATCTTTTGATTATATTTGGATAATCCAGGGTATTCTCTCTAAAGCTAATCGACTAAACCTTAACTCTATCTATAAGTGAAATTCTTCCTTGGCATTTCATATATCCACATGTTCTAGGAATCTGAACATGAATGTGGACATCTTTGAGAACAAGCGTTATTTTGTAATGCAGTGATGTAAAAGAAATTCTGCTACTTTTTAATTTTTTACTGTAAATGTCTTTATCTTATATATGAATTCCTTTTTCACTGTCCACAGGAGCCTATCTGTTTTAGATTTTCTCAACTTCTTTTGATAAATGTTTCACTGAATTTTTAACTAGGATTGTTTCTCTCTTTTTAGATAAGGACTTCTTCCCCTTTTCCATGTGGAGCTGATATTTGGGAGTCTAAAACTTAGGTAACGTCATGATGACCCAGTCTTGATACTCTACCTCCCAGAGGGGCAGTGCTGGAGGAGGTTGGAGAGCCTGCATTCTACTCTCTTTCTGTATAAATACTCAATACTACTATCTTTACAGTGCCAAGGCTGCATAGGCTTACTGCAGCTGAGACACTTGCTTCTCTAATGCATATGGTGTATTAAAACAACTTTATATTATTGAACGTTGACTTGCAAAAAATGTTTTCAAAAATAAAATACTTGTATTAACAAGGCACTGAACTTAAGATATTTCATGCAGGAAATATTTCCCTTGCCCACTGCCATCCAGCTGGAGTCTACAATTATGATCTTGCTCCCCTAAGCTTTCTTGAAGCTACTGGATACACACAGCTAAAACAATGATATAATTTTTGCCTTGTTGTTACAGTAGATAATTAAGCAAATGGAATTCCACACTGAATAGTGTTTACAGGAAAAATGCTTATTCTTTTAAAAATATTTGTTATTATGAGGAGAAGAGATATCTAATTCCCTCACTGAAGTCAAGTGGTGACAAACCTACTGGAAACAACATGAAACAAACATATCTTTCTACAAAGTTTTGGCTGTCAAGAATAATTACAAGTAACAGAATTGCCTCAGTATCACCGTGAACCCATCTTATCTGATTTTTCTTCCCTCACTGTGAGGAAGATGAGCTGCCTCACTGTGAAAGGTGCCTCATTTATTATTTGTCATAGGCAGAGCTCATTGTGGGAGGAGAGGTAAACACTGATTGAATTTTTTGTATTTGTCTAGAAGAAAATGTGTTATGAGTAAAGTTTTGCCATTAATGAGTCAAGCTTTTCTATACTGGTCCCCCATCATGATGACAATGGCATGATTTAAAGGAGAAAATTTAATTGCTGATATCAGCATCAGTGCAGAGTGGCGATGGCAGTTGGAGGTAGAGAGCAGAAGATGAACCCTAATGATGTGATGTGCTGTATTCTTCCTTATTTAGCTCCTGACCACTTTGTGAGGGCACTAGAACTGATATGGATAAGAAACAGTGAGTGCCTCTTAGTCCTTCATTCCTCCTTTCTTTTTTTCCTCTTTACTCCCCACATCCGATCTATTGCAAGCTCTAATGATTCCTGTCCATTTATGATTTTATCACTGTCATCTAAGCTCCCATTCATGCTTGTCTGGAAACTGTAACTACTTTCTAATAGCTCTCTTTCCCTCTGATTCTCTTCTTTCCCTTTTGCAATTCATTGACCCATATTTTAAAACAGGGTTATAACATATAATGCCTCAAATTAAATACATCCAATGCTTTTTTTCAAAGCATTTAGAATAAAATTAGTCTGGTTGGTGTAAGTTTTTTAAAAACAATGTTTATCTTTCTTGTATGCCGTACATCCTTCATGACACTAGTTAGATGTTCTGGTCATCACTGGTTCTCAGGGAGCCTGGCAGATGGCGACTCCACTGTGACCAT